GCCGAGCAGCGCCTGCAGCCGGGCTCCTGCCTCGCTCTGCCTCCACAGCGCTGCGTCCGGCCTGTCGCCACAGCGGGCGCGTGCTGGGGCCCTGGGGTCCCTCCTGAGGGAATAAAACTCAGTGTTCCGTAACCGTATTTTTGTACCGTTAAACTGGCGTATCGGCATTCTTATTTAAAGAAGAAAAGTCTGCTCACCTTAGCAGAGAACAAGGCGCAAACGTAATTCATCGCTGTTCAAGATCCGCTGGCCAGAATCACACACAGACACATCGTTTCTTTCAGCCCAAATTTTATTTGAGCTTTCTCCAAGAAATAAAAGGGATCTTACCCTCAATCTTCACCATTTGGACATAATCCCAGGCTTACTTAGGACGAATTTACAGTAAGGCAAAGGTGAGACTGCCTGCAGAGGTGAGGCACCTGCAGCGCTGGCAGGAGGACGCGCAGGTCAGGCCGGCCTGGCCCTTGCTCCCTGTGCCCCCTCACACTGCAGCAACCGAGGGCAGGTAACGCGCCTCTGAGCTCCCTTCGATCCAAAGCAAAGCACACTTTTGATTAACTGTGATCGCTGATCTGAAGGCCATCACGCAGGATGGTCTGCAGTGCCCTCCCGGAAGGGCGGAATAGAAGCTGATCCCAATCGGCTGCGTTTCCCAAGTCAATCTGCTGTCGCAAAATGGAGTCAGGAGCAAACCCCAGAGTCCACCCTCTTCTCCGGCCAGCAGCAAGGCTGCCGGCTGCTCGGGGATAACGTGCTATCAGGATTCCGTGTACACTGGGGCACTTTTCGTTTTAGTCTGGAGGGTGCGGTTTGGGTTTTGACTGAACATACTGTCCGGGTGTCCTCTGAGCACTCAGAGATTTCCTGCGCCAAGTCTGATCTACCCCAGGCATTTTGGACCCTTTATGGAATACAGGGGAGGGCTGTCACCTCAGAATACTTTGGCAAACGGAATCGCGTAGACAGACGTTATTGCTACCACCCTACAGAAAGTCAGCGTTTCAGCAAGAATCTCCACTAATGCATCTATGGCTCCTACGGCACCTGACACCCAGTGCTGGTTTCGTTGGAGCGGTGTTAAGAGCTGAGCACCAGCACCCTGAGGCTTCCAACACCGCAACTCTCCTCGACATGTTCTTTTTCCCTGGCAGGCCAGTATTTCTCTGTCTCGCCACCCTCAAGTCCAAGCCGAGGCTGACACGCCCCACAAGAACACCCTTCAATTTATGACTTGAATTGGCCAATTCCGTAATTACTTCCAGGGGGGATTTCAGTTTTTAAGGGACTTTCGCCAGCCAGTGCCAAGCAGCCACTGGCCCGCACCTATCTTGCTTTAAATGTCAATGATGACAAAGACTTCGGGCTTCTCCTCTTCGCAGATCTGCATTGCCGAGTACGTTATGGCCTTGACCTCCGTGCCCTGCAGAGAGAATCACAACCCCGTGGATTTCTCAAGTACATCCCTGCAGCACTTCGTGCTAACACACAGTCCTTGTCACCTCTACAAATGCTGCCCAGTTTAAAAGCTTTTCTCCCCCAAAAGCCGTACCCATGTTTGCTCCAACGAATAAGGAGGTCGGCATACTAACAGCAAGGACTTGGCCAGGCCAAACACCGAGGTAACTCTTCCCTTGCTGCCTCTGGAATACTGCAAACCCCTCCTCTTACTCTGACAGAACATCAGCGCCTGCTGCGCCAACACTGACACAGCTGAAGAGCAGGCGGGGAGACAAGGATTTTCCCCTAGGCATTCTCCGGGAGGGGAGGCAACAACGGACTAAGCCAAACGCTGTGAAACGGTGTGAAAACAAAGCCCATGCTCCCGTTCCAGATATGGACTGGCCTGCTGCGTTATCAGCATCACGACAAGGAACCCGGCTGTCGAGTTCCGGTGCCAAGGAAGATGCTCACATAAACCCAGCAGAAAGTGAGACCATCAGCGTAACACCTGTGATTCCAACCCATTTCTACTTGGATCTCCCCAGAATCCCGAGGTCTGACTGAAAAGACACCCCCCCTAACCCCAACCCGTGAAAGACAAAGATGAACCACAGCATACCTGGGGGTGTTTGGGTAAAGAGAACTCTTCTCCCCACCTTTGAAGGCAAAAAGAAGAGAGGGGGTTGGAATTTTGGTGGTAATTGTCAGAATTCGTTTCACTGATGAGCACAGGACGGAGAGATTTCCATTTAAAGCCCCAAAGGAATGAGAAGAAGTCCCCAATCCACTGTTAGAAAGCAGCAGGGAACTCCAGCGGGTCACGGCGCGGCAGAGCAGTCGCTCCGAGCCACGCACACGTTTCCAGCAAAGTATTCATTACGCGAGTGATCGTTCAAGCTCACCCAATTGATCTGATTTTGAACCTCATTCGGTCGATGTAAAGCACTTAAACCTCCTGCAGGGAAAGCGAAAGGAGAAGTGTCAGTCACACCTTCTGCCTTCAGGCAGAAAACCTCAGTAAATCCCGTTTACAGGAGTTATATCCCACTGCTCAGAGGGAACCAAAAACCAGAGTCTGGGCAGCCTCAAAGGGATACGCTGCCACTCGGAGCACAGAGGCTGCAGAGTTGCACCCCCCATGCGATGGCAGCTAACGATAGGTGCTGGAAAGCTTAGCAGAGTGTTTCCCAAGTCCTTCTGCCCCAGTATTTTCAATTCTCCCTCTGTTGTGGCCCTTTTCTTCCCCTAAAGCTCTGCATTCTGAGCCAGTATTATCAGAGAACAGCCGGGACCAACACACGGAAAAGGCTCAAACCGGACACTTACCCTGGGTATAAAGAAGTCGTTAGCACTGAATTTATACAGCCACTCGTCCAAGAAGTGGAAGAGGAGAGACAACATGTCGTGGCCTGCAGGGTTGAAGCAGAGAAGACGGTCAGCTGATTGTCTCAGCAAGAACACCCAAACCTGTTCAAGAGCACAGCAAATGTACAGCGTCTCGCTATTAGAAGATTGATTCGTGAGGCTTAATTACATTTTAATTAATGGCAACAACAATACACGTAAAGATTCAAAGTTTTGGCACCCTCCTCCCTCAGGGATCATACAGTTCCAGTCTAAAAAGGGCACATGGCCTCACCTTCTGCCTCTACCTCCACTGTATCCACAGGCTCCACGGTCTCGGTATCGGTCATGTAGCCAAACATGGCCATAACGCACTGCTCAAATGCCTCTTCCAGAGTGTCTCCCCAGGCGTGGAGCCTAAATAGACACGGATCATTTACCAGACCATAACCACATGCCCCCCAAAACCCCATAATCACCCCCCCAAATCATTACGCAGGTGGGAAACGAGAACATGAGCAGAACGCGGAGGAAGCGAATGCACAAACCCGCTGCCTTTCTGTGCCTGTGCATTGGGGCACGTTAGTGTTCTGCATTCCCGGTTTGGGAGAACATGGAAAGCACAGGTTTTACCAGACATCAAGAAAGTTCTTTCTTAACATGGCTAATTGATGTCTATGCAAATGAACTACTCCGTAGAAATTTGGTTAAGTGGAAAGAGATTAAAAGAACTCGAAGGACACTTGAAGCAAGAGAGGCTGAATCAGAAGTCCCAGGGGAATATTAGACCGGAAGAGAACCAAACGTGCAGTTCTGTGCCCTCCCAAGAGGGGATCATCAAAAAAGCCCCAGCGCAGCGTTTCCGAGTTCCGTCGGGTGCACTGCTGCAGCCCACCTCCGACAGCTACTCCACGTTTACAGCAGGGTAAGAAACCACCCGTCTGTCCCACTGAGAAACCCCAGCAGCCCACACTTACTGCACGTCTGCCGTGTGATCCAAATCTGAGGGGGAAGGAAAAAGAAATGTCTCACATCACCAAACGGAGTTTTAAAATGAGGTTTAAATCCAAGGATCAGACCATTCTTGTTGGGACAAGAACTTTCCCCATCCATTTTCAGATGGGAACGGCGATCACCTGCTTTCCAGTACACTGGAAAAAGTTTGCCCAGCTGGAATCTCGGATTGTTTTCTGCCAGGCGGAAAGGCAGCGTTCAACACGAGCGTGCCCGCGCCCTGTGCCTGTGGCACCGTGTGCGGGGGTAGAGCTGCTCTCACGCCACAGGCTGCTACCGGTCAACTGCAGCAAAGAGAAACTTCAATGGCGAGGAACAGGTTTTTGCTGAAGTCTGCAGGACTGAAAATTATTCCTACAGAGCATGAGATTTGCAAATATTTCCAGCTCAGTGAGCAAACATGCGTGCCCACACCCAAAAACTTCCCGCTATGCAGAAGGGAGAACTTTGCCTTGTTTTGTGTTACGTACTTTTTCAGTCTTGGCTAATAACCATAGAATCACAGGATGGTTTGGCTTGGAAGGGACCTTAAAGATCATCGAGTTCCAACCCCCCTGCCATGGGCAGGGACACCTTCCACTAGCCCAGGTTGCTCCAAGCCTCATCCAGCCTGGCCTTGGGCACTCCCAGGGATGGGGCATCCACAGCTTCTCTGGGCAACCTGTCCCAGTGCTCCCACCCTCTGCGGGAAGAATTCCTTCCTGATGTCCCACCTCCACCTCCCTCTTTCAGTTTAAACCCGCTACCCCTTGTCCTGTCACTCCCTGCCCTTGGGAAAAGCCCCCCCAGCTTCCTTGTAGCCCCCTTCAGGTACTGGAAGGCTGCAATAACATAGGATTAATATCCCAAGCAGACATCAGGTTGTACATGTACATCATTTCCAGCCATTAAGAGGAATAAGAAAAACGCAAAATGAAATGAGGTTGGCAGAAAGAGCTGACTGGGGATGTAAAATAAACACCACGCCACCATCGCTCGAAGGGAGAGATTGTTTGCATCGGTCACACTCTCTTACTGGATTCCCAACAACACTCTCTAAAGCAAACCAGTCCCACTGGACGTAAAAACAGAACCTCTTCCCGTTGCGGAAAGAGCATGACTGTTGCGTGTGTCACCATTTTTCCACACTGCCACCAAAGAAAGAGCTGAACACACCCCAGAAATCGGTCTAACAGAGCAACAGCCACTGTCCCTGCAGACACACGCCGGAACAGGCAACATGGCACGGCGTACTCAGCGTCCGATGCCAGCCCCTGGGCTGCCAGCCGCCTGCCAGAGCTGCTCCTCCAAGTCACTCCAGGGGTGAGGAGAGGGAGGAGAAACACCGCACAGAACACCAACACACTCCAGAATGTCTCTTCCTATAGAAGAGAGGTCTCTTCCTATAGAAGAGAGGTAAAAAAATGTGCTGCCTCGCTGCACTGTGGCTTGAAAGGGGAAAGTTTTCCCAGCGAGACTTAACTAATTTATTTCTATCTTCATTTCTTCAGCACCCATAAAAGAAAGGCATTTATCTGTGCCAAACTGTAAATATCTCTATTACTTCAACTGCAGCTGCACCCCACAGCCTAAACACGTACAACACCGGCATACTAAGCAAACCCCGGGTGTGCCTAAAAAGCATATCCTGCTGTCTTCCCCCTTTCTTCCCTCTCCGGGCCGCAGTCACGCCACCGCCACATCAGGACAGCCTCAGAAACACTCACATTCGTATTTCTTGTTGAGCGGCGGGTATTTGGCTTTGACGGCCTTCTGCTCCTCCGTCAGGTTGTAGTCCCTCTCGTCGGTGGCCTTCTGCTCCTCCGCCAGGCCGTAGCCCGTCTCCTCGGCTGCCATAGCTGCTGGGCTCGAACACTCCTCACTTCCTGGTGGCAGGGAACAAGGCCACCTCCGCACGCCTCAGCCCAGCCAGGCTTCCCTGCGGCAGGAGAAGGGGGAAGCGCCTTTCAGTCCGGTTTGCCGCCCGGCAGCGGTGTGGTGACAGCTGAGCACAGGCTGAGGTACGGAGGAGATTATAAATGCGTCTCTTGGCCGTGGTTTGCTCTCAGCACCGCCGCTGGCAGAGGCGGGCAGCGGGGAGGGCAGCCCCACACCGCCTGCATCGCTAACTGCCACCAGCCCTGTTCAGCCGCCGAAGCCGAGGGATTGCGACCGCACGGAACCCGCGGACTTGGGCCTTTTCTGGGCAGAACCACGTTTCTTCCTGCTTGTTGCGTACAACAGCAAGCGTTTCACTAAACCTCAGCTAATGAAATACAGCAGTGATGAAAGACGCTGAATACAGCTGTAAATGGAATTAAACTTTCACGCTTCAGGTAGCTCCTGAGAGTGCTCAGCGCACCAGTACAGCCCACGCGAGCCAAAACGCGCGTGGCCCGCGAATCCCTGCACGCGCTTTTTTAAGAGGAAACCAGCCTCGCTTTCCCTTAGGACAGGGACTGTAGTGAGCCTTCACAACCCAGAAGCACGAGTGGAAGCGTGACTGTCACGCAAGCGCAGGGGCTTTCCCATGTTCCTTTTCCTGCT